CGTTTTGATCTGTTTGCATCCGTTTGATCCAGTTTTGATCTGATCTTGTTCGTGCAACCCAAGACGCGTGTTGCGGTCAATCAATTGCGGTCAACCGTTCGTGGTCAACCAGATCTACATAAATTTTAAGCCGTAAGTTCTCTACGTCAAACCTTTAGATCCGCTGCGCATAGGTTTACGTTTGCTATTGAATTCGTGATTTGTACATAACGAGATCCTCACAGATCCCATCATCATCTACCACTAGTATGTGCACATGGATTCCGGCTTATTATTGTCATCATCATTATCATTAACATTATCATCGTGACAGCCGGTAGATTCACGGATCCCGGTCCGGTTTATACTGTTGACCAGGAAATTCACGGTTATGTTATATGCTTTTGATCATGATGTTACTATTATTATTGCTGTTTATTTTAGTATGAGTTCCTACGGAGTACAGTGGTACTCACACCCCATTTTATCAAAATTTTTCAGGTCATGAAGTCGGTCCGGAGCTGTGAAGTTGACGGGTGGATCGAAGTTAAATATTTTGTTGTATATTTTACCACGCTATATTCCGCTGAACTTACTGTTTGACAAACTTTAACTTTTGATCCGATTTCATAGTCGGATTGTTTATTATGTAAATCCGTTTTTGTTGTAAATTTTAAACGATCGTAACAGATTTTTAAAGATAAAATAAATGTTTTAGTAACGCTCTGAATCATTTTCTCAAACTATTTTAAAATATGTCTTGTAAACGCACTCTGATAATTAAGTTAGTGCGGGGCGTTACACACACCGCTATCGCCCGTTTCCGCCGGCGGCAAACACACACGGCTCGCCACCCACACACAGTCGTTGCCCGATTTCAAGGAACTGGATTGAATTTAATTTAGATTGTGGATCTACTGTTTGAGAATTTGACAATTTGAAAGGTTCCAATTGCAAATTTAAGAGTTTTATCAAATTTCAATTTAGTCCTTGGGTATAGTTTAATTAATTTAAGAGTTTTATCGCCACACACACACACACAGTTTCTTCTATAGTTGCACATGGTTCGTGTGCATTATATTTGCATAAGGAGTGTATTTTTTTTCCTTTCTTATAAGGTGTTTGATTGTTGGATACTGTAAAAAGATTAGCAAGAAGAAACAACTGATTTGTTTGTTCCCAATAAAGCTAATGGTATTGCACGGTTTCTTATAAATTGATATGTTTGTTCCCAATTATGTAGGTTAATTTTATTTAAAGTTTTAAACAAATAACTCGGTTATAAAACATGTAGTAATGTGCAATGGTAATAAACAAAATGCACATTAGTGATTGTCATACTACACGATAGTGTAAGACCACATGCACTTTTAAGGGAACATCTCGGTATTTGGATAAATTATGAACAAATTGAACCGACTAATGAACAACTCTATGTAGTTTCATAAATTATAACGGGCGTTTTAAATAATCACAAATATTATTAATAACTACAAATATTTTTAATAATTAAGTAGTTCGACTTATACACTATCACGTTGCACTTTATAAAACAGGACATTGCACTTTACAAAACAATACGTTGCACTTTATAGTTCGACTTATACGTGATTATCACGTTGCACCTTATAAAGCAACATATTGCACTTTATAGAATAATACGTTGCACTTTATCACAATGATCATTAGAGATCGAAATTGACCGAACTCAATTTTATTGAACAAAAAAATAATATAAAAAATAATAAATAAAATTATTTACATATTAAATATTATTTTAATATAAACAACAAATTATTTCAATTAAATCCAGTTATTCGAACCGAATAAACTAATTGACTATACTCATTGTGCAGGTTGAACCAACCGAACTTTTGTCCCAAATTAAATTGACATCGTGCACCGTAGTGTTGAGCAAATTGCACTTTAATAAATGTTACATTGCACGGTATATTTCATTCACACAAATACTAAATTTTGAATTAAAAAATATAAGATATCAAATAAAAAAATATTAAACAATAATCATGCTTTTTATAATATATGATATAATTTACGTTATTTATTTTGGTTATTTTTGTTAGCCGACAAATTAAATCGGTTATGTCGAATTTCTTAGTTCCAACTTATTCATTTTGATTATTTATTTTTTACTATTAAAAAGCATATTTATACATAATTTTGTGCAATTCACTATAGTAAAAAATGGCCTATTTATTAAATTTTTTAATAATTTCGTATTCATATGACATTATTTTTTTAAGGTGCACACCTACACACAATAATGTGTATCTAATGTGTCATTGCTATGCATAAATTAATATTTATTTAAGCATAAAATATCATATATATATATATATATTAAAAGTGTAGGAATTACAAAATAGTCCCCTACACATATTGAATCTACAAAATCAGACCCAGCCCCCTCCCAAAACAAAAGACGCTGCCACTCAACTTCAGCCACCACCGCCGGCGTCGCCGTCTTCGTCACCAAATGCCGCCACCGCCGCCGTCCTCGTCAACAAACACCGTCGCCTCCACTATAATCATCACCAAAAGCCGCCACAACTGGCGCTGATACGGTCTGGGAGACGTGGTGGCAGGGCTGGAGAGCCGCACCGGCCAAGCTGGATATATCCGACGTTTAATTGCAGAGTCGCACTGCTGGTCTGGTGATGCGCGGTGGTCGGAATGTATAGGTGGGGCGATCGGCGAACGGGATCTGTCGGCCCGTTGGTGACGGAAGTGGAGGACGGTGGAGACGAAATTGGCGAAAACAGGCTTGGTGAGGTTGGCGATGGTTGGCGGCGGCGGACGGTATTTGACGGCTGCAGGTGATGGACGGCCGATTTCCGTCAGAAACTCCTTGGTCTCGACTCCGGCGATGGGATGCGGAGGCGCGACGCGGGCTGCATAATCACGGTGGCGGACTCTGCTGCTGAGAAGACGACGGTGTGTGTGTGTGTGTGTGTGTGTGTGTGTGTGTGTGAGTATGTAGTGCGTGTGAGTTTCATATTTCAAATTGGGAGAAGAGAGAGAAATTGAGGGAAAGAGAAAAGGCGTTGAGGAGGGGGGAGAGAGAGAGGAGAGAGAGAAGGTGGGTTGAAGTGATTTGGTGAGTGGGTCCCACTTGTCATTTGATATATGTGTATTGAGTAAATTAACCTTAACTAGTATTCGACTCTGTGCATTTGCACAGATATAAATAAAATTAAATATTATAAGTTATATTTATGTATATAATATAAAAATTATAAGTTATATAATTGTATTATATTTCAAACATATAGTATTATAAGTTATATTTATGTATATAATATTAAAATTATAAATTATATGATAGTATTATATTTTAAAATTTGATCATTGGTTAAAATAAATAGTACACACGATTTGATTGTATACGAATCACTAAATTGATTGCATAAAATGTAATAAATATATACTTTTTATAATTTTGAGTGATCATGACCAATTAATTAGCTGAAAAATATTACATTTATTATAGCAATTACTTATGTGATTGTAAGAAATTTTACTATGACATAAAAAAAATTAATGTATTAATAAACAACCGCGTCATCATATAAAAAAATATTGATTTTAGTGTAAAATATAATTTTATGTAACTTTCATATATTATTTAGTATAAAATATAATTACTAATTTTAATATTAACTATTATATTATTCAATAAAAAATATAATTATTAATCAATTAACATAAAATATAATGGTTTTTGTCTTAATTAACCCAAAAAAATGTAATGAAATATTTTTTTATTAATGAGATTGGATGTATTAATGCCACATAAATAAAATTTATTAGGTCTTCTTTATTAGGTTTTATTAATGATTTGCCACATAGGTAAAATTTATTAGGTTTTATTTATTAGGTAAATTTATTGCTTAGCTAACAATTATATATATATAGATTATTAGTCAAATACATATGTTTGACCACAATATGATCAAATAATTACCAGATTACCATTAATGATTGACCATAGTTTGACTTCATCTAATCATTGATATGTTTCATCCAATGGTCCATATTTATTCTCATTTCTTTCACTATCCATCATTCTCATATGATCTTTTCTCTCTCTCTATATACATATATATATATATATAGGGGATGGTTCCAATAGGTCCCCCTCTTAAAATGTGGACGTGAGACCCAATCTCAACCGTTGAATCTGCCTTTTAAATCTACGGTCAGCATCACGTATATATATAATTATAAAATCACGAGCTGAAAAATCACAAACCTTCAGCTCGCGCGCACACAAAATCGGAAATAATATCTCAGATTTCCTCCTCAATCACGATTCTCTGCAATTTCTTTCTCAATCTCGATTTCCTTATCAATTTGAAGTTCGATTTCATCGTCTGATTAGGTTTAACTCTCGTTTTCTATAGGCAAACTCAACTGCTCGTCAAAAAATATCCAGGGAAAAAAAAGTCCAGTTGCTGATGTCGACGGAAGCAGCTTCAATGGAGATCGAAGCAACTCCAGTTGCGCCATTAATGGAAGAAGGTATACTGACTTTAAATAAAATAGTTGCTGATGGAAAATATTGATTTACTCTATTTATAAATTTAAATAAAATAGTTGCTGATGAATGAAAATCGAGTTATTCAATTAGAATCAATCACGTAATAGTTGAAAAAATTGTTCGTGCTTATCTGCAATTTTGATTTTTGTAGAATCTCTGTTTTCTGGCAAGAATATCATATAATGTTGATGCAGGTGTTCAAAATTTTATAATGTTGCTGATAATGTTGAATAAATTATCCATGTTATTCTGGAATTTTGATTCATGATATAACTAACACCTAGCAGCACTACATCACTAACTTAGCAGCAGAAGACAACTAACCTAGCGGAACATAGTTCTAACCTAGCAAAACACATAAAACGAACACAGCACCTACATACGACTAACCTAGCAGCATGAGAGAACTAACCTAGCAACTACATACAACTAACCTAGCAGCATCAGAGAACTATCCTAGCAAATAAATATAACTAACTTAGCAACTACAGACAATTGACCTAGCTGAGAGAAGTAACCTAGCAGCATGAGAGAACTAACCTAGCAGCATGAGAGAAGTAACCTAGCAGCATGAGAGAACTAACCTAGCAGCATGAGAGAAGTAACCTAGCATCATGAGAGAAGTAACCTAGCAGCATGAGTGAACTAACCTAGCAGCATGAGAGAAGTAACCTAGCAGCACTAGAGAGCTAACCTAGCAGCATGAGTGCACTAACCTAGCAGCATGAGAAAACTAACCTAGCAACTACATACAACTAACCTAGCAGCATCAGAGAACTATCCTAGCAAATACTAACTTAGCAACTACAGACAATTGACCTAGCTGAGAGAAGTAACCTAGCAGCATGAGAGAACTAACCTAGCAGCATGAGAGAAGTAACCTAGCAGCATGAGAGAACTAACCTAGCAGCATGAGAGAAGTAACCTAGCATCATGAGAGAAGTAACCTAGCATCATGAGAGAAGTAACCTAGCAGCATGAGTGAACTAACCTAGCAGCATGAGAGAAGTAACCTAGCAGCACTAGAGAGCTAACCTAGCAGCATGAGTGCACTAACCTAGCAGCATGTTAAACATACAACTAACATTGCAACACGATACAAATAACCTTGCATTTGCAATTATTAAGGCTAATGTTTTTGTATGATATTTTGCAACAGGTATTACACGTGATGGATGTCAATTTCAATTGGTGATATCACCAAATTCAACAAAGTACTGGATACCGATTGTCAAAGAAGATTTAAGACCAAAAGTTGGCATGCTCTTTGAGAATCTGGAAATTGGGATGCAATATTACAGAAACTATGGAGCAAATGGTGGATTTGATGTTCGTACTAGTACAAAAAAACGTTTTAGAAGTGGGATGGTGAGAAAACAATTCATAGTTTGCAGCAAGGAAGGATTTAAACTACAATCCAGACCCAAAAGTTCAACAGGAGTTCATCGAGAACGTGTTTCAAAAAGAATTGGTTGCATGGCTCGGGCAGTGTTTGAATACGATGATGGAAAAGGATACAAAATTACATATTTCGAAGAGAAACACAGCCACAGTTTGACGTTGGAAGCACATTATTTGAATGCAAACAGGCAACTGAACTATGGCCATCAGAAGTTTGTCCTTAATTGCGTAAAAGCCAACATTGGACCTGCTAAAACACACAGGTTATACAAGGAAATGGTTGGAGGATATGAAAATGTTGGTGCTCTGGCAATTGATTTCAAAAACTTCAAAAGAGAACTTATGACTTACATGTCGGGGGCAGATGCACAACTCATCATTCAGAAATTTCTCAACAAGCAGGAAGTTTACCCGGACATTGCATTTGAATATGCTGTGGATGAAAATAATCAATTAAGCAGGATCTTTTGGGCTGACCAGATTTCAAGAAAAAATTACCTCATGTTTGGAGATGTTGTTTCATTTGACGCAACCTACAACACTAACAGGTACGCAAACATTTCCCTTGTCTTGACTCTAATTTATATGTAATGTATGCTTTCTAGTAGGATGTGAGTTAAACTGACTTTGCAACTAGATATAACTAACCTAGCAACGTATGATAAGTAACCTAGCTATAGCAGAGAACTAACCTAGCAACAAAACACAGCTAACCTAGCAGCTACAGATAACTATCCCAGCAGCTACAGATAACTAACCTAGCAACATACAACTAACATTGCAACGTGATAAAACTAACCTGGCAGAGTTATATAACTATCCTAGCAGGTACATATAACTAACCTAGCAACAACAGACAACTAACCTAGCAGCTAGACATAACTAACCTAGCAACAATAGACAACTAACCTAGCAACAACAGACAACTGCTAGGATAGTTATATATCATAAAACTTGCAAGTAATATACTACTTAACAATTTCATTTATTATTCTGATTTGCTTTCTATCTTTAAACAGGTACAAAATGGTGTTTGTGCCGTTTACAGGAATTGACAACCATAAAAAGTGTGTCACATTTGGAGCTGGATTAATGGTTAAAGAGGATGTGGAATCATACATTTGGTTATTGGAAAATTTTTTGAGAGCTATGGGAAATGAACCATATTACATTGTTACTGACCAAGATCCTGCTATGAAGAATGCAGTTCAGGCGACTTTCAAACAGGCAAGACATCGTTTGTGCATGTGGCATATCATGGAAAAGGTAAATGTAAAGGTTGGTCCTACATTAGCCAAGGATAATAACTTCATCAAAAGGCTGAATGAAATTGTGTGGGATATTTACATAAATCCTGATGAATTTGAAGAAAAGTGGAGAAGGTTGATGAATGATTTTGCCTTAACAGAGAATCAGTGGTTTAACAATCTATTTCAGATTAGAAAGTCGTGGATACCAGCATACTTTAAGGATGTCAAAATGGGTGGCCTACTGAAAACAACTTCTAGGTCTGAGAGTATTAATAGTTGGTTCGGAAGCTACATATCTCCTCAAGCAAACTTAGTTGAGTTCTTTATGCATTTTGAAAGTGCAATGGATTCACAAAGGCATGTTATAAGGAAGCTGAATCATGAATGTGTGACAGCACCTCCTGAGTGCAAGACACCGTTACAAATTGAAAAACATGCTGCAAAAGTTTACACAAAAACAGTGTTTTCAGAGATGCAAATGGAGATTGAAGCAGCATGTTTCAGATGTGTGCCTGTGCATATTGAAAAGGAGCATGAAACAACCAGATATAAGGTTGTAGAAGTTGGTCGAGATGGTATTGACTTCATTCTTAATAAGTGCGGGGATTGGGTAGATTGCAGCTGCAAAAAGTTTCAACAGTTTGGATTGTTATGTCGTCACGCAATAATGCTAATCAAGGATTTAGAAAAGATACCAGAGAAATACCTCCTCAACCGTTGGCTTAAGGTTGCTTCTTCTGGACATGGTATTGATAATGCAAGATTAAATCCACTTGATGGCAAAAATCAGAGAAATGCATATCTAAACAATCTATGGTCTGATTTTTATTGTTGTATAAGTCTTGCTGAAGGTAATGATGATAAATTGGAACGATTATCGAGGATTATAAATGAAGAA